CTAATGTTCGATAGTTATTCTGTTTGTGATACAACCCTCATTTAGGGTTGTATCACAAATAGTTTCTGAACCTCTTTTTATGTACCTTGTTTTACAAATGTAAAAGACATTGATGGTGCATACAAAACTACCTTTGTTGGTCAAGTCTTGAAGACTTCTTTTACGGTTGATTGTTGTGCTTTTCGTGATCTTCTTCATTCAAGAGCTGTTATTTAGACAAAAATGTCATTCTGTTGTTTACAAATGATGCAAGACTACAATAATTGTAAGGAATTTCAGTCATTTAATGTTAACTTATGAATTAATTTTGTTTAAAAGACGGTTCATACACTTTTTTCATCTCATTTCACTATCAATATTTTCAGGTATGGTGGTCATGTTGTTACTGGTTGTTAAGGCTCATCCCATAGGACTGCCAGATACCCTGCCAGCCACCATAGTGGCCTTCAGAACTGCGTGGTCTGGCAGTCCGTTGGCCTGAACATCGGTAACCCATGAACTCCTTAATTTCTGATTTACTTTCATCTGCATCTCATGTAATATATATTTAATTATTTATTGAATGTGAAAACATGTAAACTTTACTCATTTAAATTTTTTTATATAGCATTTGTCATATGTATGAATTAAAAATTCATTATTGCTAACTGCACATGTATGTTTTCAAAAAAAAAACATTCATCACAGCATTCCATAATATTTCATTTCTTACATAGCATTCCAAAACATTTCATTGATTACATAGCATTCCATAACATTTCATTGATTACATAGCATTCCATAACATTTCATCCATTACATAGCATTCTTTTACATAGCAAAATGAACATGGCTGAGCATTTCATCCGATAATACAGGCCACACAATTTCAAAACCTAAAAGAGTTCACTACTTTTACATAACTAACAAAAAACATGGACATATTTCATACTGGGAATGCAACAGTGTTTTCAAGCCATGTTTAGCCAACCAAAACTCATCCCCACACACATTTTTTCATTGAAATACTTCTGGTTCAGGGTTATGATCCGACCTGATCTTCTAGGTATTTCATGACCTGCATCTATCCATTCTTGACATTCATTGCATAAGTATCTACCAGTATACCTTTTTTTGTTTAGAGGATTCATACAGTAAAAGTGATTTAAATTTTTACACCGAAAGCATGGCACCAACCAAAAGAGTCCAGGCATCCTCCCACATGCGTGACATTTTGGAGAATCATTTGTCCTTGACCCGCATCTCATCTTAAATGGCAAAGTTAAACTTTGTTATTTAATCTATATTCATTATTTAAAGTATGAACCACTTTGCATTTTATGAAAGTTCATTATATTCATAACCAACCATTTTCATTGTACATATTTCATTTTTTTCGTCTATGCTTAATTGAATACATATCATAGTTCGAAAAATACCTTTGCTTGGTGGGATAAGAACAGTCGTCGTCACACTTTATACTCAAAACTCTCCGTTGGACTTTGAAGTTGTATGGTGTTGTTGAGCTCAGTAAATGACTTTCTGAGCAAGGAGTTAATGCAAGTGAAGTGGTATATATGCTTACATATTGGTATATTGGTTATAGGCCATTGGTCAGTACTTTGGTAATTAATTATGATATGAAGTTCACTTGATGCTTTGTATGCTCATTTAATGAGCAGACCTACATTGTCTATTCTCATTTAATGAGCAGACCTATGCAAAATTCTCCTTTGAGATATTGCTGATATCTGCATTTAATGCTAGCCGACCTACATGCCTACTACTATGTACTTAAATTTATGAGTACACAAGTTCGTATCAATGACTGTTTTACGAAAACTTTAATTTGAGTACTCTTACAATTCATTAATGACCTTGAGCCACACACTCTAAAACACTGTCAGTTGATAGCTGCATTAATCGCCAGCAGCTCTTCAGTACAGTTGTGCTGGTAAGTTCATTCATGACTTTCCTATGTACCTACTCTGAAATTTATTATTAATTCAATGTATATATACACAATTAAATAAGTAACTATAGATATTTTTCGGAACTATACATATTCTTTTTGGGTCTTTTACGAAATCTTTAAGCATTTACACAAATTTTCTAAGAAATTCAGAAAAACATTCATTCAGATATTTTTCTTTACTTTTCAGTGACGGCCTTTGGGAACCTAGGTTATTGAAAGCCAAAATACCTGGGCTACCTTATTATGGCCAAAATACATATGCTCAAATTCTCAAGTGCAACCATGTACTTCTCAAATTTTTTTATCCACTTAATGTCATATATGTCTCTAAATACTGTATCCCTCATAAAATTGATTTTTAAATTGATATTTCATATTACATAGTTAGTCTAAGCATGTATTTTATAAACATTAGTCGATTCCGCAACAACTTTTCATATATTTTACCCAAATTACATGGTTTCAACTTGGAAGTGGTGAAGTGTCTTTTAAAATTTTGACACTTCAATCTAATTTGAGCAGATATTATTTAAACATCTATATATATATAAATATATAGACATCAGTTCATTTTTAGAATACATACACATATAACAAACTACATATATATATAATTAATTTTTTTTAAGTATGCCTATATTTATGTCAAGAAAACCTGTACTTCTCTGATTTTCTAAAAACATTTATTGTTATATATATCTGAATATTGCTGATCCATTATAAAAGAATATTTTAATTTCATTTTTCATTTTACAAACATAATTTCAGTACTTTAAATTTTTAACTAAAAATAAACATTCTCTGGTTTATACGAATTGCTTATTGCTTATATTCAATCTTGAAACAATTTATAATAAAAGATTTTGCAAAATACTTGGTTTTTTGGAGTAAAGATAAACTTTAACAGATAAGTTGACATTTAAACTGCTTTTTAAACTGTTTTGAGCCATAGTTAAGAAACTTTTTTTTAAATGTGTAAGATAACATCTAAGTCATTAGTTAATTAAAATCTTTGTGATCTTATTCCCTAACTTATGCTGTTTTCAGGTATTGCACAATTCTCTCTGTTCGATTTTGAAGTTGTATGTTGTTGTTGAGCTCAGTAAATTTCATTCTGAGCAAGGAGTTAATGCAAGTGAAGTGGTATATATGCTTACAGATTGGAATATTGGTTATAGGCCATTGGTAAGTACTTTTTTAATTAATTATGAAGTTCACTTGATGCTTTGTATGCTCATTTAATGAGCAGACCTACATTGTCTATTCTCATTTAATGAGCAGACCTATGCAAAATTCTCCTTTGAGATATTGCTGATATCTGCATTTAATGCTAGCTGACGTACACGCCTACTACTGTGTACTTAAATTTATGAGTACACCAGTTCGTATAAATAACTGTTTTACAAAATCTTTAATTTCAGTACTCTTACACCATTAATGCCCTTGAGCCACACACTCTAAAACACTGTCAGTTGATAGCTGCATTAATTGCCAGCAGCTCTTCAGTCCAGTTGTGCTGGTAAGTTCATCAATGACTTCCCTATGTACTATAAATACTGTATCCCTCATAACAAACTACATATATATAATTAATTTTTTTTAAGTGTACCTATATTCACTGCTTTTGAAAAAATGTACTTATTTCATTTTCTAAAAACATTTATTGTTATATACATATCTGAATATTGCTGATCCATTATAAAAGAATCTTTTAATTTCATGGTTCGTTTTACAAACTTAATTTCAGTACTTGAATTTTTGAATTGAAAATAAACATTCCCTGGTTTATACGAATTGCTTTTTGCTTATATTCAATCTTGAAACAATTTTAAATAAAAGATTTTGCAAAATACTTGGTTTTTTGGAGTAAAGTTAAACTTTAAAAGATAAGATGACATTTTAACTGCTTTTTAACCTGTTTTGATCAATAAGTCAGAAACTTTTTTTTAAATGAGTAAGATAACATCTAAGTCATCAGTTACATAAAATCTTTGTGATCTTATTCACTAATTTATGCTGTTTGCAGGTATTGCACAATTCTTCATTAATGTGGATGTTTTGCCTTAGTTTTCTGACTTAGATAATTGTTTAGGGATAGTTTAGGGACCTTAGAGGGTTGCCAAAAATGTAATATATTTAAGGGGTCTGTAATATTAATTAGTCCAAATAGGAAATGCAGGTGGTGTTCTACGGTTGTTTGAGGTATGTACTCCATTCACCAACTCAGTTGCCATTTTATTTCTATTCTTTCTTAACAGTTGTAACTCATGAATGTGTATTCATACGTAATATTCTAACGCATCAAGTGCAAAACCAATATCACTTTTCCATTAAAACCATTGCTTTACAACATTAATAATTTTTACATTTTGGACTTGATATAAACCTATGCTTAGTGTCTCCTAGATCACCTCGGTGGACTTTAGAAGGTCCATTGTCCTTGACCTTAGCCTCATCCTTATGTACTCCCATGACCTGAATGAAATTCATATGACCTGGAGAATATAAACATTGAAGTATTATTTTTTAAATCTACTCTCACAAACTGTTGAAGTGTTGCCGGTGTCCTGCAAAAAAAACATATGAAATCATCATATCGATAATACATTTTTTCAAGAGTTTGTACTTAGTTCCCATAGGAGAAATATAGTGTCATGCTTATTTTGTCCACACTGCCAAAAGTTAGACACAATCATGCCCAACTATGTGTTTTAGGCTACAACCCAACACCACAAAACAAAATATACGTCCAAGGATGCCTCAGTACAAAACATAAGTCCCGACCAACAGACTGGCCCTTGTTCTTCAGAGTGGTTCTTCTTTAATTTTTATCTTCAGCTTCTTCACAACACCACTTGTAGAGAATTCATCTATCAGATTCCTTTTGAGTTGTCCATCCATTTCCACTTCCACCACCTTCTGCGTACCCACTGGGGGTGAGTCTGGTAGGTCAATTGCATTGACAACCTTTTTAAGAAAAAATGTAAGCATATCTCTTTAATATATAACCCTACTTAGACAAATGTATAAGAGTAATACAGTCTGTACCTCTTGTTTTTGAACATCTTTCCCTTTTTTCCTCGCTGTAGAACTTTCACCATTGTGCAGACTTGACCCAATCTAAATGTAAGGTATTGGTCATTATTTTCTATTATACGAAACATATACTTTTACTATGAATCACCAAAAAGTAAATCTTCTATAAACTCCAAAACCATTGAAAATACCTTCTCAGTTGGAGTGTCATGCACTGATTCTTGTTCCTTATCCGCTCCATACAATGCCAGAACCTTAGGGTCTCTTATCATGGTCACCACAGTAAATGACTTTGTTTTCTTGTAAGTATTCTCCTCACTTTTTGTCTTCAGTTGTATTTTAAACAGGGCCTTTTGGTCAACCAAGCTTTCTATGTCTTCTGGAAATCGAGTTTGGTCTTCAGTCTTCTGTTTTATTCAAACCATTTGCATTAGGCATAAAGTTTTTTAATTTTGATAATTTCACATATAAATTGAAATCAAGTTTTTGCCTTCTCCATCTCAGCCATCAGAAAAGCAGATGTTTTTCCAAAAACTTCAATACATTCCCTGTCCCACAGAATGAAGGTTGAATGACCAGTCTGGTCCATGATGCAAATGCTGACTTTGTACCTAAAATGAATGGAAAATATTTTTCGTGAGACTCAATTCACAAAAATCATAGCTACATACCATAGCAATTCTCTTACCGATACACCCCATCTGCCATTGTGACATGGCAATTGGTACACATGAACCTATCATCCTCTGGTTTTAGTTTTTTGTAGCATGTGGGACAGCCAAGGTAACACCATTCTCTATAGTTTTCAAGAGACACAATGTCTCCGATGATCCAGTAAACCCCATCCTGTTTGTAAACACAATATTTGACATAAGCGTTTAAAATGTCCTAACATTAAAGAATAGGTCATCTTGTACACACCTCTGTAGCCTTAACCAATTCCTGAATAGTCGTTATGCCAGCTTGACCCGCAAGGACATCTTCCCGGCTCCCATCACCGTGGGAAGATTGTGAGACAACTGTGGCTGTGACGCTGTCATCACCATCCACAGGAAATCTGTAATATAGCGCAGAGTTCATTATGAGTATAGTTTTTATAAGCCTTCAATACCCTTTCAAAAAATTCTTACTCGCTTTGAAATTCAATAAACTCGCTTGAGTTCCCATTGATTATCAGTTTCGACACATCAAATGAAGATGATACAGATAGGGTGCCTGTCATGAGTAATTAGTTTTTTAGCATCATACTGTTTTCGCCTGATGGCAGGGGTCATAAACATCCCTACAAAAGAGATTACCTTGGTATCTCTTTGGCCTGCATAGCTGAAAAATTACATACACAGGCCTGCCCACATTTTCGGTCACATACTCCATATACTGGTCTATGTACTTGTTCCACAATACACATCCGAGTCGGTTCCCTCTGCAATTTATAAAAGTTATTTAATAATAAATATTATTCATGCTCCAGAACAATTTCTCTCTTATGTCGAGATTGTATAAAATGTTTAAACAAAACTCACTCAGGGTCTCCTAATGTCAACTCCATCATCCTCTCAGCTCTTCCACTTATGATATGGTTTTGAACGCCGCTCTTACATATGACTTTGCCTATGACATCTATTACCAAATTCCAGCTTAAGATATTTATTTCAGTAAATTAAATTGTAAAAGTTTTGGGTTGTCCTCACCAATCAATTTTTTGTCGTTGACGACGCGTTGAGCCTGCAGCATGTCAAATGGCTGAAAGTCGTACACCATAATTGGCAACTCTGCTCTAGTGTCTTCGGTGAACTGAGTTTTGCTGATGAATTGAATCAAATAAGGATGGTCACTTGTTTTGACGGTTTGGTAGTTGTCCAGGACCAAAAACGTCCTCAGAGCGTAAGTTTTGTTTTCCTTGATCATGGTCTTGTAAACCTCCACCTGTGGCCTCTTTATTATAGCGTGAATGCGGTCTCCCTAAATACCAAATGTGGGCAGTGTGAATATAATAATAATATAAAAATAATAGTAATAATATTATTATGATAATATAGTATTATATGTTTTTGATATCAAAATATGTTTTTGATATCAAAATGAAAATTCTGTGAATATGTTTTTCTACCAGCTCATCATGCAACACCATCTCGAGTGTTGCCCCCCCCCCCCCCCCCCCCCCCCCCCTTTTGAGTGAGGTGGGACTTCGTATGCTCTGACCACCCGCACCCTTAAGGCCCAAGTGGTCTTGGTATGATCAACATCCTTGATCAGGGACCACATGCCTCTTTGTGTTGAGGAACCTGTCATAGCTCACTAATAACTTAGGAAATTTGAAAATACAGAGAATGTAAAAGAGATCAGCTTGGTTGTGGTGTGGTTTCTGACCTCTTCAATGGGTATTTATATTGGGAAATGGAGGAAGTGGTGTAGAGCATATTGTGTTACTGTGTAATAACCATTGGTCAAGGCACACCCCATTAAATGTGAAGTTGCCATTTACTATCACAGCCAGTACAGTGCATTTATTGTTGTGTGGCTCAAGAAAGGCAAAAAAATTAAATTTGCTGCCTGTGGATTTTCGAGTACAATGCTCCCATTTTTTTTAGAATTGCAGCACTCTATTAAATGTGAAGTTGCCATTTACTATCACAGCCAGTACAGTGCATTTATTGTTGTGTGGCTCAAGAAAGGCAAAAAAATTAAATTTGCTGCCTATGGATTTTCGAGTACAATGCTCCCATTTTTTTAGAATTGCAGCACTCTATTAAATGTGAAGTTGCCATTTACTATCACAGCCAGTACAGTGCATTTATTGTTGTGTGGCTCAAGAAAGGCAAAAAAATTAAATTTGCTGCATGTGGATTTTCGAGTACAATGCTCCCATTTTTTTAGAATTGCAGCACTCTATTCAATGTGAAGTTGCCATTTACTATCACAGCCAGTACAGTGCATTTATTGTTGTGTGGCTCAAGAAAGGCAAAAAGAGCTGTAGATGTGCTGCCTGTGGAATTTCGAGTACAATGCTCCCATTTTTTTAGAATTACAGCACTCTATTGAATGTAAAAAGACTAAATTTGTGGCCTGTGGAATTTCTAGTACAAACCCCCATTTTTTAGAATTGCATGACATGATTCTGGACCCACTCTAACAGGCCCGGCCCATTACTGTTCATGTTTTGGGCGGGAACACTGTGCAGTTTTCATTTTGCTTTTGTATAATAGAAGATTGTTGCAAACGCCAAGAGAAAAAGAAAGTAAGGGACATCCGATCTTCGGGAATTTCATCTATTCCACTTCCTTAATAATCCCCCATCTTCAAGTGCTTAGTTTTTCACTTCTTTTTTTAACATTTGGCTACTTGTAATTTTAAGACTATAGCTTCAATTCCTCTCTTTTTTTTTTTCTTTTTTTCGGAAAGAATCGTCCATATTTCTTTCTCCTTTGATCAAACAATTTTTATTCTCTTATTTTATGCAAGTAATGTATTCTGTATAATATAATATTCCAAATGGAGGAGCGTGTAACTCGATATACAAGAAGGGCATCGATCAGGATCTGAGGATGACACTTGAAGAGGGGAAAATTTTCAACATACGCACTCAGCCGTGCCCACACATACATCCCAACCTTCCTCCCAAAAAAGTTTAACAAATTGATTTGATTTTTCTTGATCAATGATATTAATGTTTGATCAATGTCGTTTTTTAATACGAAAAGTATATGAAAATACTCCTTACTAAATATATTTTCATAAAAAGTATAAAATTTATGAATAGCATATGAATATAATAACTAAAAGTATTGTTCAAACACTTTGTCATCATTGATCAAGAAAAAATAATATAGCAAACTTTTATGGGATGGAGGTGGACAGAGTATATTAGTTTTGCAGATCAACGTACATTAGTTTCATAGTTAGATATTAAAATGTACCGAGTATCAATTGTTGGTATATATGTTCTAGAGACAATCACTATTTAAAGATATATGTACGTACCGAGTATCAATTGTTGGTAAACGGTTGCACTCCTATTGGGGTAGACACAATATGTGTTGGGTGCCAGGGGCGGCTAGAGAGGTTTTGAGGTCCCAGACAAGATATAAACATCAGTATTTAACCCATATATTAGTGTATTTTCTAGACAAAAACAATACAAAATATTGTACCTATTTTGAAAAATAAATTGTACTTCCTAACTGGCAAAAATTGGCAAAAAATTACATACAACAAAGAGATCTAGAATATGCTATCACAAATACAGTTATTATATTAAATTCACAAATCAAATTAAATAATATTGCTACATTCATGCTAACTTTGAAAAAATATAACAAATATATATTGGTATTGCAAAATTCTAAAAATGAAGACAATTTAATCAATAAAATTAGTTACACGCAAAGTCCACCCTATACTATTGTACCAACATAAAAAAAGACCAGTCAATATAACAACAAATAAACTACTTCGTATTACGGAGTAATATATAATATAAGAGGCTAAAAATATTTATTAAAATAGGGACCCATATAGTGCTAAAAATATTCATCAAAAATATTACTTAGTACTCCCTCCGTCCCGCTAGAAGGTTCCCGTTGACGGTTTACGATGCTTGACTGGCGATAAAGCAACTTAATTCTTGTTCACACTCTGATTATTTTTAGTAAATAAAATATAACATATTCAGAAGCTACATTAAAACCGCTACAAAGCCGATAAAAATGTAAATTTGATAAAAATTTGATTTATTAAGTAAAAGATTAAAAATGATTTAAATCGACCATGTGAATAGTGGACGAGAACCTTCTAATGGGACGGAGGTAGTAAATAATATTGACTACAATTGTGTTTAAAGTTTACATTGTAGAAACTTACATGTAATTACTACAATGTAAATTTGAACACAATTATAATCACCAATAGTTATCAAGTAATTTTTTTGTCGGTCATATTTTAAAGAGTAATATAAATGAGGTTTTTTCTTAGATAAATATTAAAAATTAATGAAAAGAATAAAATAAATGTAGGGGTACATCACCCTAAATGTTTCGTGACTCTGCGGACCAGTAAACGATTAATTCCAATCTGGTAAATAAATTAAGCTAAACACTACTTGTAATGCATATTATTGATAATGTTTTTTTTATATTATTGATAATGTTTTTAAAATATGGGGCCCCAAAAAATGGGGGCCCAAGGCAACTGCCTTACCTCACTCCCCCTATGGCCGCCACTGTTGGGTGCATCGCGAAGTGACGGTAGTAAAGTCATATGTGTGCCTCAAAATAAATTCAATACTATCACTAATACGTAGTATAGTGAAGTAGAGTTCGTATCCACGGGGCAAGAAATACTTTTCTTTTACGAAACTAGTAATTAAAGGGGGGTTTAAGGTTGATTTAATTTAATAATTAAAATACTAAGATGAACGACTTATATGATTTTAATTAATGAGATAAAAGACTTGACTTTGCATCTTTCCACTTGTTGGTATGTTTGTTGATCCCGGATATATCCATAACTTATCCCCTCTCGAATACTCAATCGAAGAGTATCTCCAATTAATCAAGGGTAGTTATTAATAATGGCCGTTCATTAAAATCTCTTACTATTAGCCAAGTATAGAACACCGTCGTATACCGACTTGATAGTAGCATTTAATCTAAGAACTCCTTGATGAAATCAATTGAGATAGATCGATAATCTCAACACAACGGTTTCGGTTTAGCCAACACAATTAATCCCTCTTAAGATTATTAACCACGACCGTTCATTGATCGTTTCTAGTAGTAATTAATGTCAGGATGTTAACTAATTGTCATTTAGGAAAACTCCCTAACATGAATAGAGATAGAACAAGGGAAGAATTAATATTCAAGGGAAGAAGTAAGAAAATAACGCACAACTTTAACATTCAACAAGTTTCAAGAGCAAAACCAAGAAATGAGAGTTTAACTCATTATTTGGAGACTAAACAATGCTAGAAAAATATAAAGAAAATATTATTCTAAGTTGAGCTCAATTATATGGAAGAAGGGATGATTAAATGTGAAGGAAAAGTGTGTTATTTATAGGTGTTTTCAACACCCTGCGTCGGATACCTGACCGCGTATAGGTACATACCCGACAGGGTATTGGTCAAAATCAAATATTTCCTCACGTCTTTGTGTTTTTCAGCACGTTTGTTTCTCGGGTCAAATCATACCCGACCAGGTATAGATCCATATCCGACCGGGTATCAATGTAATTTCACGGCAACTTCATTTTTCTCTTGCACGATTTTTTGCTCCCTTGCACTTTCCTTTGATCGTGTAAGATATCTTTCATTCTCTTTTGTTGTAGACTAATTTATTCAAGCTCAAGATCTTCTATAACTAATAAATTACATTAAACTAGAAAAATAAAAGGTTGCACCGTAAATGTGCAATTACCACAACAACACACCATAAAAACTGATTAAAAGTAAAAACTTAAGCACTCCAAAACCATTGCAATCAACTCCCTCACACTTAGAGACCGTTTGGTAACATGAAAATCGGCTGATTCGGCTGATTCTGCTGAAATTTATGAAGTTC